TTCAACATATGAATTTTGAAGGAATACAAATGTTCAATATATTGCATCAAGCATGGCAGTCTTGATAATTTCTGCATCAGAGCAATAAGTATATAAGATTTATTATGTTGTTCTATGTACTTTTGTATATTTTTGAAAATTAAAGAAAAGATAACTTAAAAAGATAAATGCAGCCAGGTGTGGTGGTCTACACATATTCCCAGTGACTCAGGAGACTGAGGCAGGAGGATTGCAAGTTTAAGGCCAGCCTCTGCAACTAAGTTGAGGCTCTAAGCAGCTTAGTGAGAACGTGACTCAAAATAAAAAAAATAAAAAGGGCTTGGGATATAGCTCAGTGGCAAAGTGCCTCTGGGTTCAATACCCAGTACACACACACACACACACACAAAAAAAAAAAAAAAAAAACAAAACATTCAAATGACCCCGTAGTGGGAAAATGGTGCTCAAAAGATACAAATAGGTGGGCTGGGGATATAGCTCACATGCATAAGGCCCTGGGTTCTTATGCCCAGCACCAGAAAAAAAGACATATAAACAGGCAATAAAATTTGAAAAGATATTCAGCCTCACTGTTAATCAGGGAAATGCAAATTAAAACAATAAGAGGATACTATTTTCTATCCAAAAGACTGACAAAAAGTTAAAAGATTAGTTCTATGAACATAGCCAAACTGCTGGCTGTTGCTGGGAAGGCAATTGCCTCCACCTTACAGTATTTATAAAGATTAAACCACATGCATATTTTTAGAAGCACCCATCTCACTTTCTGGAATTTATTCTGAAGAAATAATAGTACCAGAAATTAGTGACCTGTGCATGAGAGTGTCTGAGGTAGCACTTTTTGAACTGTCAAAAAAAAAAAAGTTGAAGACAACCTAAATTATTATAGAGGGATGGTCAAATAAATTTATGATCCACTCATGCCATGGAATATTATATTTTTACAAAATACATGAATAATAGGGGCTGGGGTTGTGGCTCAGCGGTAGAGTGCCTAGCACATGCAAGGCCCTGGGTTCTATCCTCAGTACCACATAAAGATAAATAAATAAAATAAAGGTATTGTGTCCAACTACAAATAAATATTTAGAAAAAAACAAAATACATGAATAATAGTACAAAATACAGATAAAATGGGAAAATGCATAATTCTAGACTCAGAGATATCAACTTGATTTATATTAAATGTTTTTCATTGTGTGTGTATATAGTTGGCTTTCTGTATCTGTGAATTCTGCATCCACACATTCAATCAACTGCAGGTTGAAAGTATTCAGAAAAAAAACTGTGTCTATACTAAATATGTACAACCTTCTAGTCATTATTCCCTAAATGACATAATATAACAATGATTTATACAGCATTTACATTTATTAGGTATTATAAGTAATCTATAGACAATTTAAATATATGGAAAGATGTGGGTAGATTATATGCAAATACTACAACATTTTATGGAATGAAGCATCCATAGAATTTGATATCTTCAAGGGTGATGAAACCAATCTCCTATGGATACTGAATGATGACTGTATCTGTATGAATATATTTGTATGTGTGTATAAATCCGTGTGTATGTATACACACACACACACACACACACACACACTGTGTTAGGTTTTCATCACTGTGATCAAAATACTGAGACCATCTAGTGCTGGGACCATCTAGCACAAACAACTTGGAAGAGGAAAAGTTTATTTTGGCTCACAGTTTTAGAGGTCCATGGTTGGCTGGCTCCATTTGTTTGGGCCTGAGTGAGGCTGAACATCAAGATGGAATAGTGTGGCAGAGGACAGCCCATCAGCTTATGTCAGCCAGAAAGCAGACAATGGGGAGGAGCGGAGACAGGGAGGAAGTGGCCAAGGACAACATAATCCCCAAGGGCACATCACTAGTGACTTACTTCCTCCAACCAAACCCCACCTAGCCTATAGTTTCCACCATCTCCAATAATCCATTCAGCTATCAAGTCACGGATAAGGCCAAAGCCTCATAATCCAATCACTTCCCCAAAGTCCTGTGTCTGGATATTGCTGCACTGAAGAACAAGACTTCAACATGTGAGCTTTTAGGGGACATTCCAGAAACACCGTAACATATGCATACATATATTTGGTCTTCCAATAAAAATATATCACATTACACATCATGTCATTTGTTTTATTTCGTTTTGGTACCAGGGATTGAATCTAGCACCTCTTAATCACTGAGACACATCCTCCTCCCTTTTATTTTTTATTTTGAGACAGGATATTTCTAAGTTGTTCAGGGCCTCACTAAGTTGCTGAGGCTGGCTTTGAACTTGCCATTTTCATACTTCAGCCTCCTGAGTCACTGGAATTATGAATGAGTGTCACCATGCATGGCACATTACAATGTATGTTGCAACCTCTTGTTTTCTTAACTCCCTCATAAATTCATTTTATATCAATAAACAGTCACCTAGAACTAACATTCAAAATACATGAGACATGTAATGCAACAGCAAAAAATTAATACATAAAATAACCAAATTAAAATGGGCAAAAGACCTTAGACATTTCTCAAAAGAAGACATACAAAATACCAACAAGGATATGAAAATGCTCAAAATCATTTGTTATCAGGGGAATGCAAATCAAAACCACAATGAAATATCCCCTCACTCCTGTTAGAATGATGATTATAAAAAAGACAAAGAAAACCAGTACTGGTGTGGATGTGGAGGAAAGGAACACTCACCACACATTGTTGGTGGGGATGTGAATTATGGAAAACAGTTGGAGGTTCCCCAAAAAGTTAAAAATAGAACGATCATATGATCCAGTAATTCTAGTATGGGGTTCATATCCAAAGGAAATCAAATCAGTACAATGAAGAGACAACTGCACTCCCATGTTTATCCCAGCACAATTCACAATCTTGGAGACTTTAAATCAACCTAAATACCCAACAATGGATGACTACATAAAGAACGGGAATACTATTCAGCCATAAAAAAGTAATGAAATTCCATCATTTGAGACATGACATGGATGAAACTGAAGGACATTATGTTGAGTGAAATAAGGCAAATGCAGAAAAAAAAATCACATGATTCTACTCATATTTGTAGTGTAAACTAAGAGTTATCTGATAGAAGTAGAGAGTATAACAGTGGTTACCAGAGGCGAGAAGAGCTTTGGAAAGCTAAAGGTCAGGAGCAGGCGATCAATGGATACAGAGTTAAGTACTACTGGATGGTCCTGTACATTTTGAAATAGCTGTAAGAGAGGTTTTTGAACGTTTTCATTTCAAAGAAAGATAAATGCACGAGGTGATGGATACGCTAACTATTGTCACTTCATCAATATACAATGCATACATGTATGTGAAGGGAAAGTGAAAAAGAGAGAGGCAAGCGAGAAATGAAGGTCAGAGACCAGGAAGAGACCCACATGAAAGTTTACTTGACAAAGCTGACAAATAAAGGCCATGTCTCTATAGAGAGGATAGAAGCCCTAAGATGTTTGGGTGTTCAGCTTTTGTGGGGTAGGGGTTTGGAGTTGTAGTTGTGGTGCTATGGGATAGGCTGGGGGTGGGGTTGTGTTTGTGTCAGAGCTAGGCGAGTGTGGAATAGCATGGGATTGAGTTAGGTCATGGTACCATGGGGTTTTCCAGAGCCAAGGTGTCCTGTCCTTCTGGGATTGGCTTAGGGTTATGGTACCATGGGGTAGGTCACTAATGGGGGTTGGGGGAGTTCAGTAAGAAAAAGTACAGGAAAGGGAAACTTATCTCATAACAAGGTGGTTAACATTTAAGATGGCTGCTTGAATATTAATCAATACTTTATAGTATGCAAACATCAAAATGTGCCCCATAGGGGCTGGGGTTGTGGCTCATCTTAGAGCACTCACCTAACACGTGTGAGGTGCTGGGTTTGATCCTCGGCACCACATAAAAATAAACAAATGGAGTAAGGATATTGTGCCAAACTATAACTAAAAAAATGTTTTTAAAAAATGTGCCCCATAAATACATAAAATTATAAGCGTCAATAAACTAAAGATTAATTTACAAACATGGCTTTAAAGACTGCTACCTGGGGCTGGGGATGTGGCTCAAGTGGTAGTGCCCTCGCCTGGCATGCATGCGCCCCGGTTGGATTCTCAGCACCACATACAAACAAAGATGTTGCGTCCATCGAAAACTAACTAAATAAATAAATATAAAAAAAATTCTCTCTCTCTCTCTCTTAAAAAAAAAAAAAAAACAACTGCTACCATTTTATTTCATGGATACTCCATAACTTAACCAATCCACTGTTTGGCAGGAACATATTTAAGTAAGTCCAATTTCTCCTTTCATAGACAGCCTCCCTACAGGCCTACAGTCTCTCTAGACAGTTTGCCAATCACATTCTAGAAAGTTCTGGGCACTTCCAGAGGCATTTGAGGTAGCTATTCCAAATGCTTTCCCTTAACGCAAGCCTCCTATCTTCCCAGTTATAGCAAAACTGTACTCTTTAGAACTTGAAAAACTTGTCTTATCCTGCCCGTTAGTCATTCAGCCTTAGAGGGACTCGGTTCCAGAAATCCCATGCACGCTCTTCCCTCCTCTAGCCTCATTCCCGCCCCTCCTCACGCGCCATCCCCCCCGCCGCCCCCCCACCTCTCGCTTTCCCGCTCGGCGGCCTGGCCTATGGCAAACGCCAAGAATTAATTAGGGGCGGGGATCAAGGAGCGGCTGTCAGGAGGTCGCCATATTTCTGTACGGCCCTGAGGCAGCTCTGGCAGTCCGTGGATCTGTAGAGGTGCTGACAGGGCGGGGCCGTGGCTGGGCTCAGCCGGCCTCACCCCTCCCGCTGGGGACAGGTGGCTGGAGTGCGCCCCGCCTCCGCCAGCTGCGAGTTGGGAGCGGAGGAGAGCCAGTCCCAGACGGCCGCCGCCAGCTGCGACTGGGAGTGAGTGAGGGCTAGTCCGGGACGGCCGGGGCGAGGAGTCCGGCGGCAGCAAACGAATATCGTGGCGGCCAAAAAAATGCTCCTGTACCGAGGGGCCCCCGCGGGCCCTGGCGCGCCAGTCGGCGGGCTGGCCCGGCAGGGCAGTGGCCCACAGGCCTTCGGGATCCGCCTGAGCACGGTAGGTCAGGGGCCCGAGGGGGCGGACGCGTGAGCGGGCCCCAGGGCTGAGGGGGGCGCGCGGGGAGGGCCTGGCGGGCCGAGGCCTCACGCGGGACGGGACCTTCTCTCGCCTCCAGATGAGCCCCCGCTACCTACAGAGCAACTCCAGCAGCCACACGCGACCCTTCAGTGCCATCGCGGAGCTGCTAGGTGAGTGGCGAGGGCGGGCCTGGCCGCGATAGCCCGAGGCAGTGGTGCCAGCGTGGTGCTGCGGACTCGAGAGGAATGCGCGGAGCTGCACGGGGTGGGCCGGGGCTTGGGTGGGGGCCTCTGGACGGCCCCGGCTCCGCTGGCGGAGGAGGGTGGCTCCCTCACCAGGGATGAGGTTGCGTGAATAAAGCAAAAGCCGAGGAAACGAGGTGTATCCAAAGAGTCAGGACTCACGTGTGGTTTTTCTCTTTGGTTCGTGATGTTCCAGGCACTTTAGGGTAGCTTAGTTAATAATCAAAGGGAGATACATAAAAATATCGGGCCCCAAGGCAGCTGGGCTCAATAGCGCCTGGCGACCCACGGAGGGCTCCAAGTTAGCAAAGGGGCCTGGTACAGGACTTGGTAGGGTCATTAGGAAAGGTCTAGAAAGCAGAATTCTTTAACTTTTGGGCTTAGAAAGTCTAGGAATGATGGGACATCTCTTAAGAGATGACACGAGTGCATTTGGCTCCCTGAGGCTGCAAGAGGGCTGGGTCCATGGTCCACGAGCGCCCTCACACCGCTGGAATGAATATTGAGGACTTAACCTCTCGCTCCACCGGTGTTTGCTTTTAAAGCGTTTTCAGTTGATCCCTTGAAGCCAAGTACATCAGCTTTTGCAGTAGTATGCTAAATACTGTGTGGAAGGCAAAGAAGAAAAGCAGTCCTGCATAAAATGCAACAGCATACAGAGCACATTATAAACGCTTCAAAAACTGAAAGAAGTTTGAGAGATTTATGGGGCTAGGTAACACAGGGGACAAAATCGAACATGATTTCAAAGCTCTGTGAATGAGCACTAGTCTTCATTTAAGCTCTTACTGTGGCTATGCCATGAAAGATGTCTTGGTCTAGAAGTTGGTGGGCCGCGGGAGGAGTGTCAGGAGAGTTATTTGGAAGATGATGGAAAATTTTTATGATTAATTTGACTACAACACTGAATACTTACATGCGCGTTCTCTCTCTCCATATATATGTGTGTGTGTGTGTATATATATAAAATATGACTTTATTAGAATATTCAGAGGGAAAAAAGCGGCATTGACACATTTGGAATCCTAGATAACAGGGCGTATATCCTTTAGGTTTTACACTATGCTTCCAGTGAATGGCTGTAGCATGGAATAAGATTTGTATGCATGTAACTTACTAAAACAAAACAAAAAAAGTAAAATTAACAATTAACATAGTGGGAGGTGGGAGAAATGTGAGAAATGTCATGTTCTTTCACAGTTGCACCCTGTTGTACCTGTGTTGTATTGTGTGTACTGTACTTTAAAGGTGACTTAATGAGTTTTCAATTATTGTCTTAAACATTAACCTAAAGAACCATATCTTGGCCTAAGATGTCTAACATGGGTGTGAATATGTATGAATATTATACACACATATATGATCCAAATATATAAAAACATCTTTTAAAAGTAAGTAACAAATGTTTTTGAAAATAGAGAAAAGGGAGATCACAATATTAGTGGCTTGTCCAAAGTTTTCATTTTGGGTTTTCCTTCAGTAGTTAATTCTATTATGCATTAATTTGCTAGTGAATCATATATTCAGTAAATATTGAGCATCTATTGTGTATAAGACCACTGTGGTAGGTACAGAAATGAACAATACAGATTCACCTTCAAATAGGGAAGATATGAAATATACTGCAGGCTTAATCTTTGTACAGCAACATAGAAAATAATATATCAGCAAAGATATGCACAAGTGCTGTGGGAGTTCAGAGGAAGGAGAAATGACTTCCAGCTTATCAGGAAGAGGAGAGTTAGGAAAGGCTTTGTGGAGGAGGTGACATTTGAGCTGAGATTTGAAGGATTGGGACATATGGACATGGTAACATGGAGGGCATTCCAGACAAAATAAACAACTGGATGAACAAAAGCATGAAGAATATTGAGTCGTTGCATTTAATTAGAGCATGGAGTTCATGTATAGTAAAAACTATAGGTCCCTAGAGTGTTTACAAAGAGCTTTCACAAATACCTTCTTAACTTCACCCTTTGAGGTAAGCAATATTAATTTTTTCATCCTGCAGATGAAGAAACAGAAGATCAGAGAATTAATTTACTTTTCAAAGGTTTCATGTCTAGTAAGTGGCAAATCCAGGACTCAAACACAGGTTTTTTTACTCCAAGTACCAAGTAGCAAGTGAGGATGGAAATGTGAACTGGGACCAGGATTCAGACCTGGAGGCTCTGGTATTTGGCCTGTTCATCTTAAGTTTTCTGACCAGGATAATGTCATGATCAGAGTTGTGCTTCAAGAAAGTTAACGTTGCAGCAGCATATAAGATGTATTAAAGAAGAGAGATATGGATTTGAAAGACAAGTCAGGAAGCTGTTTAAATAATTCAGATGAGAGGGATCAAACTCTGCAAATAAAAGGACAATGGGAATAGAAAAAGCAAGATGTAAGAGAATCTAGGGTTGTGTTGAGCAGCAAGAGGGAGAGATTTTAAAATTGATTTTTGTTTTTGCTATGCTAGGAATTGAACTAAGGGTCTTGAGCATGATAGGAAATGTTTCACCACTGCCTGGCATGAGCTACTGCCCCAGCCCAAAAAATTACTTTTGAGTTTCAAATTTGTGGTCATTTGAATGCTGATATTCCCTCTCTCTTTTTCTCTCTGTCTCTTTCTTTCTCTCTCCCCCTCCTTTCTTCCCTCCATATCTCTCTCTCTCTCTCTCTCTCTCTCTCTCTCTCTCTCTCAGAGAGAAAGAGACAGAGAGAAAGAGAGAGAGACAGAGAGAGATAAAGAATAGGCTTGTGACAGAAGGTAATGATGTTACTTTCAGGCAAGAAAATTTTACCTACTTGCAGAATGTCTGTAGAGCAACAACCCTGCCCTGGTGACCTTACATGTACCTGGACAGGAAAGGATAGCAGGCATGTGAAGTGCTACCTTAAAGCTATCTCTTACCCACCATCTTCTCTCTCCTGAGGGACTATCATTGAACAGTTTTTCATTGCCTTCCAGGTTCTGGTGAGGCATGAGGCTTCTAATGCCTTTTTAGAAGACAAATGAATGAGTGGACCAGATTAGGGTGTAAGATACATTCCTCATGATCCTCATGCTCTTGCCGAAGGGGTGCACGAAGGGGGAGTATCGATAGGGTTTTCCTTATAAGAGATAACACAGGCCAGGTGAGACTCCATGGAATCTGGAAGCAGATAGGGTTGTGCAGCCAGGATAGGGGATAAAGACACTCCAGGATCTGATAGTGCATCTCTTCTTACCTAAGTATTAGTTGAGGAAAGAGAAGTAAGGGATCTCTCATTATCCTACCTGTTCATAGGCTAAGTGGGCTGGGCTGTGGGAGAAGATAGATCTCCTGGAATTTGATAGCATATGCTACATGTTGAACAGTTTTTAGAAGGTTAAGCAGCAAGAAATAGAATTGAAACCAGTTGCTAGCTTGTGCCTTATTAGTATAAGTTCATCTGTTGAGGCCAACCTTGTTATTATAATTTTATTTGTTGAAGCCAAGCAAAAGGCCACATAAAATGGAAAGTAAGTGCAAAACTGTGCTTGTGGGTGGCCACCCATTGGTCACACTTTCCCTGTTGCTCCATCTGACCCTGGCCTCTCATGTTCTCCCTCCCCTCTATATTCCACAAGCTTCCAACCAAGGAGGTAAAATGTCTACCTGCACTTAGCAGCTCCTGTGAACTCTTTAAGTGCCTATGTTAAAATTCTTTGGTATATTCCTATTGAAAAACCCTAGTAAAATTTGGGGAAATTTTACAGTAGAGAGCTAGGCTGGTTCTGCATGCCCGTAATCCCAGCAACTTGGGAGGCTGAAGCAGGAGGATGGCAAGTTTGAGGCTAGCCTCAAGAATTTAGTGAGACCCTGTTTCAAAACAAAATATAAAAAGGGCTGAGTATGTAACTCAGTGGTAAAGTGCCCTTGGGTTCAATTTCCAGTAGAAAAACCAAACCAAAACAAAAAAAACCTTACAGTAGAGAGGGAAAAAAGAGGCTGACGTGATTTTTCTAGAGACCCTGTTTTATTCAATACACTGTTGTAAAAATGTGTAATTGGATCCATATGCTATATGTTTGAATTGTAAATATTCATAAACTGTTAGAAAATAATTTCACAATGTCTGAAGTTTTCTATGTGTAAATGACGTCTGGTTGGTCAACAAGTTATCAGTCTCAGTGTCTTTGGCTATCCATCAATAGGAGTGACTGATAAGAGCCTGCATGCCAAGTAAAATTTCTTTAAAGAATGTAGGCAGCTATGCAACTATGCAGGGCTGAATCCTTCTGTCAGTTAAAGAAAAAAATACTGCTGCCTGTTAAAAGTAAAGAACAATATTTCTGAGAAAGATTCCATTGCATGCCAACTTGTAACTCTTGCTTGATGTTAACCACATTATATGGAACTTAGGTGCTACCTGGGCTTTAAAAATCTACTGTATCAGACCTCTTAAACAACTTTTGGGATTATTGATGATGACTTACTGCTGTTCAGATGTTTTCAATCAGTGAAAATTTTATCAGTGATTCTGGAAATACTATTGTAGTTTTTGAAATTAATCTATGTCTTGTTTTATTTGGAGGACATTCCATAATCAAAGTGATTGTAACTGATACTTTCAATTGTATTATAAAAATTTGGAATATGTGGAATAATTTTCTTGATTATAAGAGATGCTCCCAGTGAAGAAATATGATTTATCAGTGATAATGGGAAAGTATACAACCAAGACCCTATCTGACTCTCTGAGTGCAGCCTTGTATCATCAGTAAAGCAATATAAGATGTCAGGGCAAAGGAAGTGGTTTGAAGGAAAGATCTTTATCTTGCTTAAAGAAGAGCTAGTAGAGATAGGAATGATTAAGGACTTTATCTGTACTAGTCCATTTTATGTTGCTATAACAAAATACCCAAGGCTGGGTGTTTGTCAATAAAGATGTTTATTTGATTCACAATTCCACTGGCTAAAAGGTTCAAATGGCATGGTGTTGGCATCCTGGCAAGGGTCCTCAGGCTACATCACAACATGGTGGAGAAGCCAAAAGGGAACTAGCCATGTGCAGAAGAGGCCAAGCATGTGGGGTGACCTCACTTTAAAACAACCTACACCAGCAGGAGCTAATCTAGTTCTGTCAGACCTGACAGCATGAATCCCTTCCAAGGATAGCATCCCCAAAGACACAATTACCTTGCACTAGGCCCCACCTCTTAAAGGTTCCACCACTTCAACACCACCACAATGGGGACCAAGCTTCCAGCATATGAAATTTTGGGAGACAAACTATATCTAAACAATAGCACTATCCAACAGATTTTACAGACTGTCCTTGTATTGAGCCACTTATATCAATGATTGACAATAGTAGATACTAAATTTTTTTTGATGGTGCTGGAGATTGAATCCAGGGCCTTATGCATGCAAGGCAAGCACTCTACCAACTGAGCTATATTACCCCAAGCTGACAATAGTAGAAACTGCACTGGTACTTGTGACAAAAGAAAAAGAAAAAAAAAAAAGAAAAAGAAATGTGGCAACTAGACAGTAGCACCCTCTGGAGTGGGGACATGGTGCATATTTTAGAATATGGATAAATTTGATGTCTTTGGAGTTTTAAATAATTAACTCATCATAAAGATGTAACTCAGGACAAACTGTTGAACTTTATATGTACATTTTCCACTTTTTTAGTTGTAGTTGGACACAACACCTTTATTTTATTTATTTTTATGTGGTGCTGAGTATCGAACCCAGTGCCTCACACATGCAAGGCAAACACTCTACCAACCGAGCTACAACCCTAGCCCTGTTTTTCCAATTTTATTTGATGCTCTCCCTTTCATGAGAGAATAGACAGCCTCACCTTGAAGACTAGTATAGAGAAAGGCAGCCAAATTGCTTTTTTGCTCTAAGCATGCTTGCTACCATCACTGGGATTTAGGCAGGATTTTAACCTGTAATTCTTTCAGTAGCCCTTGTACTATAAACAGGGATGGTGATAATATCTATGTTCTTTAACACATGAAGTAATATTTTAAAAAGTAGAAAATAAAATTTTCATATATAAACTGTAGTATGTGTGATATGTGTTTATTTTTACCAAATTGTTGGTTCAGTTTTTCTCTGTAGCCAACCTTTACTGTATGCATTCATAAGCAGTAAAGTAGCTAAAAGGAAATAATACAGTGAAATCAGAATAAAATTGGAGTAGTTACTTTTCTTTTAGACCCTGAAGTTAATAGGGAGAAAGGCAGACTACAGATCAACCATGAAATCTAGAAATCAGCTGGGCATGGTGGCACATGCCTGTAATCCCATCAACTCAAGAGGCTGAGACAGGAGGATTGGAAGGTTGAGACTAGCCTCAGCAACTTAATGAGCAATTTAGCAAGACCCTGTCTCAAATAAAAAATAGCTGGGGATGTTGCTCGGTGGTTAAGCACCCCTAGGTTAAGTCTCTAGTGCCAAAAAAAAAAAAAAAAAAAAAAGCTAGAAATCAGCTTTATAACTCAAACTGGCATCACATGTGTTTTTATCTATAACTCAGTAGGTATATTACATTAATGTCCCCTGTTTAACTTCTGAGACATCCATATGAGGGTACTGTAGGACAGTTTTCCATGTACTGGGAACACTAAATTAGACATTTTGATAGAATATTGGAAAAGGAGATCTAAGATCACAGATTTCTACCTTTTGCAGATAATGCTGTAGATCCAGATGTATCCGCCAGGACGGTCTTTATAGATGTTGAGGAGGTCAAGAATAAATCTTGTTTGACCTTTACTGATGATGGATGTGGAATGACACCTCACAAACTCCACCGAATGCTCAGGTAAAAATGTTTTTATTCGCCTCTTGAGTTCACAAGCTCTATTTAAGTTTTTATAATTTTCTTTAATATTTTACTTTTACTTTATTCATTCAACAAATATTTATTAAGCATCTGTTAGTGCCAGGGCACTGGTTATGAAACAGACACTGTTCCTGCTGTCACAGAGCATACAGTCTAGCTGGCAACTCAGTTAAGCAAATAATCACAAGAAAATGCAATAAGCATAATGGTAGGAAAACACAGGATACATGGGATGAGTCAACAGGGTAACCCAATCTGATACCAGAGGTTAGGAAAAGCCTCCTAGATGAAGTTATATTTAAGCCGAGATCTAAGGGTGGGTAGAATTTAACTAGGTGAAAAGGTGCAGAAAGTAAGGAATGCGAGTTCAAGCAAAGAGAACAGCAAGTATAAGGACCTGGAGGCTTTCCCTGATCTAAGACCTTCTCCAATTCCTAATTAACCGAAAATCACTTTTAAATCAGAAATATTAGAGTTGGAATAATTTGTGGATTAGAACCCTGAAGGTATCTGGACATAAACAAGCCCCATTAAAATAAATAGAAGGCAACCACACATATAATATGGAGATTTTGCAGTAGAATTGCAAAGTTATAAAATTCCCTTTTTTAAATATTAAAACTGGTGGTAAATTTCTGTTGCAACTCTCAGTTCACTGGTTGATGGTTAAGAAAATGTTTGTTCTTCATTACCTTCACACATCACTTAGTTCAAGATGAATGTTTTCTTAACTTTTTTCTTCTCTCTTCTTTCTTAGCAGATGAGATTGATTATTCTTCTATGTGTCTCCCTGAACTAGAGTGTGTGAAGCATGAGCAACAATGGAGGGGTACTGAGGAGGAGGGAAAGGGCTCAGGACCCTAAAAATGAAAAACAAATTCATTTGGTTGTAGTTGTCTTTGAATGTTTTCTAAATCAATAACCTTGTTGGTAGGGAAATGCCTTTGATCCATTAAATAAATAAAAATGAAATTTAGTCAAAGTAAGTAAGTAAGTGGTTATAATTTACTATTCAGTAGTCTATATACCTTGTGTATTAGACCCTTCTAAATAGAAGAATATTTGAGGAAAATCTCTAGACATGATACAAAAATATGACTAGTATACTTGTGAAAGTAGAGAGTTGGCTGTATCCTTTAACTTATTCCACCAGTTTGATTTCCTAAACTTAATTTTAGATGGGAGAGAATCAAAATATGTTGAATTCTGTACATACTAGTTTTCCCCCTAAAATTACTTATCTTCTTTTTTTAAAATTTCTTTTTAGTTTTTGATAGACCTTTATATTATTTATTTATATGTGGTGCTGAGACTTGAATCCAGAATCTCACACATGTCAGGAAAGTGTACTACCACTGAGCCCCAGCCCCAGTCCACTTATCTTCTTAATTACTCCTCCCTGCCACACTTTATCCAGTGACATGGGTGTCAAACATTAGGCCCAGCAAATCTGATCACTTTCCATTTGTCAATGGAAATACATATGAAAGTTGGTATAATTATAAGACAGGAGGGAAAAAGAGGATTATTTCAGAATAATTGTAGCAATTTTTGATCCATATTTGTTCTTTTATTTTTAAAAATTTATTTATTTATTTTTGCATTACAATTCTTAATACAGCATTATACCATAATTTATCATATCTCTGATTATATATAAGGTATGTTGACACCAAATTCACATCTTCATACATGTAATTTTGTATAATGATGAAGGTCTCCTTTCACCATCCATGCTATTCCCTTTCTCCCTCCCTTTCCCTCCCACCCCTATTCCCTATCTAGAGGTAATCTTCCTCCCTTGCTCTCCCTCCCAACCCCATTTTGAGTCACCACCCCCCCTTATATCAGAGAAGACATTCGGTATTTGTTTTTTTGGGATTGGCTAACTTCACTTAGCATAATCTTTTCTAATGCCATCCATTTCCCTGCAAATGCCATGATCTTTCTTTTTTATTGCTGAGTAACAAATTCTTACTAAGTACCTGTGCATACGGTATTGGAAATAAAGTGGTGAACTAGACAGATATGATCCTTGTTCTTAAATTAGTGAGAAATAAAAGTTGACTAACAATAGTCAACTTTTGACTAAATAGGCTATTCTACCAATGGTAAATTATATAAAAGAAGAGTACAATTTCTTTGAGATTATATAGCACAAGGATCTAATCTAGCCTAGGGAATCAAAAAAGGCTACTCTGAAGAAATGACATTTGAAGTGAAATATGGAGGATCAGTGTCATCCATTAAAAAATCTGTTCCCTTCCCAGGGATCAAAGTAGGTAGAAACTTCTTTAGCCATAACATTTTCCATAGCATACCAAATATACTCCCCAATAGTTTGCTCTGGAAATTGTTCCACTTATTTAAAAATTAATTTTGGAGAACTATTTTAATGAATTCTCAATGTAATATGTGTACTGATTTTGCTATTGTGTCTTAAACTTGAATCAGCCAGAAGATCATTTATTTAAAAGAGATTATTTTTAATCAGATCCTAAATTATAACCGAGTCCACTTTCCACAATTTCTTTTTAAATAATCGAATTTTAGAGGTAGCTTTTGTATTGGGAAAAATAATGAAAGTAATTCTGAAAAATTATTAAGCCTACAGAAATTCTGTTGACTTATAATATTGGTTATCCTATTCACATTTTCCAGTTCTTTATGCTAACTCTTCCTATTTTCAGGCTGATAAAATAGGTGGGTAACTGCAGCAGTAGTTTCTCCCATAAACACAGAATCAACATGAAAATCAAATTAAAAAGGAAAATCCTATCATTAAATTCCTTAAAGGTTAACTTTTTATTCTCTTTAGCTTCTAGGGATAGTATGTGAATCAAGTAGTTTATATATTCAGCTGCCATTTTTAGCAAAGTGGAAAACCTCTTTCAAAGGTCAAGAGTTAAAAACAGCCATAGAGCCACAGATTCAAGGTATTTGCTACATCTGCACAGAAGTACATATAGGTCTATTCTAAAGCAACAGCTAGACAATAACAGAAAACTTATCATTCTTTCATTCATTTATATTACATATTATATCACCAATATATCTAGAAAACAATAGTGCATCCCTTTGTATGTTCATGGATTTTATTAAGGTTTGTTTCAGTGATCAGCATTCCAAATTTAAATTTATCTCTCTAGAGTCTAGATTCTCAACATATTAAGGTACTCAAGAGGAAGTTGCTTATTATTGGATTCCATTCAATGAACTAGTATCTAAGCCCCGTTGGTGTGTAATCAGTGCTGTCTCTTACATGAGAGGACAGGACTGACTTAGAGAAAAAAACCACCTGCCTAAGCCAAGATTGCTCTGTAGAAAATTACTGAGCTATACCAAACTATGTAAAATTTATTCCTATAATATTATCATTATGTATGGTGAAGGCTTTTATATCAGTATTTGATTGGTATCAGGCATTCATTTTGCAAATCTGCAGTCAAATAAGAATAACTAACATGGAAAATTAGGTGGAATAATAGCACATGGGAAGCATTAAGTGAAACATAACAGCAAAAATAAAATCTAGAACTTCTAGCTCCTCTCATCTCACTTTTATCCTTTTCCATTCTGGTTCTGGCCCTGCCCTACTACTTATCTTTTCAAGCTTATATAGTCATCTGGCTTCCCCAAAATAAGTAACATGAGGATTTATACCTACAAAGGGAAAAAGAGGTGATAGGTGGTAGAAGATAGTAGGAAATTAATGTAGTAATATAGTCCCCCTATTTTTATCCCTTTCTTTGGCCACCTAATTTAAACTTTGTGGTATTAAAGTAATTTTAAATCCAAATAACCATACAAATTCATTTCACATGGTAGATAAGATTTCTGTTTATGAAAAGTCTGAGTTTAGAGGTGATATTAGACCAGAAGTAAGGGTATAGAATAGCATATAACAATTCTTAGAATGACTTCTAGAGTTGGCTTAAAATTTTTAAAAAATTGAAGTTTGAATACTACTTTATAATTAATCTACTGTGCATATAGTATATAATTTAATTCTTATAATGACCCCATCTTTTCCAACCAATTCTTCCATAAGAGGAATAAGAATGTCTGAATTTTACCAACTTATACATCTGTTTTCCTGGAATACCCACAAACAGCATTAACTCAGGGCTCTCTTTTTTCCCCAAAGGACCAGTTCCCTGGAGATTACATTTCTATGTCACTAGATTTATTCATAGAAGGCTTTAAAATGTCTCTATTCTAGAAGGACATATGGTACTTTAGCATTACACTTTGAGATAGAAAATTGAAATGTAGTCCACTTTCTTGGGGAATAAACACAAAACCACAACCTTCAGGAAATGGAAAACAGGCACCTTACCCCTCCGTGCTCAAAGGAGTAAAGCCAAGACCAAGCTGCTAAGTAGCGTCTAATCTGTAATATATGAAATCCTTTCTTAGACTACAAGCTATGAGAGCAAGAATCATACCTGTTTTATTAACAACTGTATCTCCAGTGCTTAGCATAATGTACAGCACATAGTAGGTGCTCCATTATTATGTGTTGAATGAATGCTAGTGTAGACCATAGTAAAATTAGTCAATCTGGAGAGAAATAATCCTTAAAATTAGTTTTATTTGTAGTAAGGGAAAATATAAGAAGATGATCATCATTTTCTAGAATTTATATCATTTTGTTTTATATCTGGATAGAAAATATAAGGAAGGGAAAGGTTCTGGTTCCCAGATCAAACTGATCATGAAGGGCTACAGAGTTTGCTGAGGTGACTCATTGAAAAGCCCTTAATAGAACAAGACAGACTTTATACTGCAGCTGTTTGCAGATATTCAGAGGCAGAACTACCTATTTTTATCTCTTGGCCATATTCCAGTGGACTGTCCCAGCAGATGGAGCAGAGAGTAAGAATTAGAATGGTCATCCTTTGGGTGGAGAGTCAAAATTGTCAAGATATATGATCTCTGAGACTTTCAGATTTCTAAAGGATGACATAACAAAGTTAGGAGATACCTAGTCTAGTGCCTTTGATCAGTGCCACTATTTGGGACTTTTTGTTGTCCTTTCTAGGCAACTATCCTTTGTACATTATCCTAACTTTTAAAAGTCAGGGCTGTTTTATCTAGATAAGAAAGGCAGTGGCACAAGGCCTTCTCCAGCTCTCTCTGTTAACCAGTGAAAGGGGGCCTTCTTTGCATTTTCAAAGTGTGACTCTTACACAGTAGTACTATTTAAGTACACACCATCCACACAGGAATATCAGTGCCATCACCCCATATAGTGTCCTATGTTTTTAACTTAATAGCTTTGCCTGGAAATACCAAAAAAAGTTATAAAAAAAAAAGGAGGGACTTTTTATATGTGTTATTCATGTGTCAGCCAAACATTCTGCCTCTCACCTATCTTAGGATGCTTTTTACCTTTCTAATTTCTTTTTTTCTTGTGTAATTACAGCTTTGGCTTTACAGATAAAGTAATAAAGAAGAGCCAGTGTCCCATCGGGGTCTTTGGTAATGGTTTCAAGTCAGGCTCCATGCGGCTAGGAAAGGACGCTCTTGTCTTCACCAAGAATGGGGGTACTCTTACTGTTGGACTCCTATCACAGACCTATCTGGAATGTGTCCAGGCCCAGGCAGTTATTGTACCAATTGTTCCATTCAGCCAGCAAAACAATATCCTTTCTGCAAATGGAGAATATTGGTTAAAAATTAGTTTAATTTGACTATTTTAGCAGAAACTTTTTCCTTCAGGTCAAATCCATATTTTTTTCATATTTCAAAAAGTATTCATGTTTTTAAAGTATTGAAATGTCTTAAATTTACTACCATTTCTATTAAATATTTTTAAAATAAATGAACCATTGACAGAAGCATAAAGATATTTTTGCTATGTTGAAATTTTTATATTATGCAGCTTGATTTGTATAGAATGTCTTTTCCCAACTACCACCACCAATATAGTTCCCAGGGCTGTTTTTCCCTAAGGCTAGCTACATTTGTGTTTATACTTTTAGAAACAAATTGTTTTCCAGCTTATCTGATAGCATTTCCCAATACCTGGACAAGCTATTATTTCTGTTAGATACCAGGTTGTTTTCATGGGAGCAATATAGCAGTAAGATTTGAACTTACTGCTTCCAAATAGTTTAAAAATTAGCCTTTGATCATCTCCATAAATATAATACTGTCTTTGTTTACACTGCATCTTTGAGGCTATATCCTGCAGATGAAACTGAATTTGGTGTTTATCTCCACAACCTTTCCTCTTTCCTTCCTTCTGTAGCAGTAATTCTCATGCTTTATGTCTTTATTTTTTATCTAAACATGCAACCCAAAAGGTACTCTTCCTTCTTGATAGCATATTCTTTTAAAAAATATTTTTAGTTATAGATGGACACAGTACCTTTATTTTATTTATTTTTTTAATGTGGTGCTGAGGATCAAACCCAGTGCCTCACATGTGCAAGGAAAGTACTATACCACTGAGCTACAACCCCAGCCCCTTGATAGCATATTCTTAAGATATTAATTTTTCTTTGACTATATTTGGTTTTACAAAAAATGATTATTACTGAGGATTCCTTGCCCAGCCTGGAAGCCATCTTGAACTATTCAATTTTCAACAGTGAAAATGACCTGCTGTCCCAGTTTGATGCCATCCCAGGCAAAAAAGGCACTCGTGTTCTCATTTGGAACATCCGCAGGTATAGTATCTTGAAGGTGACAAATTCTAACAAGCAAAGGTCGTATTATGAAGCACATTTTAATAAGTCTTTCTACAGAAGCAGAGTTGATAAATTTATACATTTATATATATATGCGTACATATATAATGATATATATATATATATATATATATATATATATATATATATATATAAAATTGCATACCTTTCTATATCTTTCACTTGAGGTAGTGGTTCTTGTTAATATGCTATGTATTTAAAGTAAAACCATGCATATCCTGAGACAGTTGCCACAAATAGTATTCTAACATTCTCAGAATCCTTTATAAATATCAATTTCATATTCATGGACCTTTTATTGAGATTGATAAAGAGAGTTATTTTATATATTTGACAATTAAAATGAAGCATAAGAAAGAGAAATTAGAGTAACAAAATACAACATGATCTTTTAAAAATAAGAACCTCTATATTAGTGCTTTTAGAATAGCACAGCATTACAAAATTATTTGAAGCAGATCAATTTTAACTATAATGTGTGGCTTAAGATCATGTCTTTAGAACTAATAAAACAATAAAGAAATACTCTATGATACATTATTTGTTTAATCATGGCATGTAAAATGCAATAAATATTAAAACCTAAAAATTAAAAACCTAGAAATATTAATATAAAACAGATGCATTACTGGTGTGTTTAATAGAACAGAGTATCAGTTATATTCATTCTTTCTTTTCAACTTACATCAAGTGTTTTGTTTCATTTCTTAGCTGGGTAAAACTTATTTAAAAACAATACTGGTTTATATACAGAGAGTACTTAATAATTAAAAAGAAAAAAATAATGACTCACACAGGCCTTTTGTCCTACTGGGAAAAACTTCAGTAATATCATATGTATTATTCAGGATCATTTTCCTGAGGAATATCCAATGACTTACACATATGAAGCAGACTTATTTCTTTGCACAAGTTATATGTTATATAAGTAAAGAAACATATAAATACTTATGTAAAGTGTTATGTAAGTAAAGAATTGCATGGTCAAATAAATTTGGGGAAAACTGGATTAAATGAAGCCTACTTTGTTGTTTTGGCCCAGGACTTCTCAGAGGCATTCATATGCTAATGTGCATTGAAAATACTTACACTGTGATGTGGTGATGCAGGTGTGTAATACCAGTGGCTTAGGAAGCTGAGGCAGGAGGATCGCAAGTTAAAAGTCAGCTTCAGCAGGACCCTGTCTCAAAATAAAACATAAAAGGTTTGGGGATGTGGTTCAGTGGTTGAGCACTCCTGGGTTCAATCCCTGGTACCAAAAGGCAAAAAGAAAAGAAAATACTTAAGGGAGCAATATAATATGTTGCTCAGTTTTTAAAAATGTTTCTTCAAGCCTCTTTTTCTTGGGTAGGGATGATAGAGGCAGGGAGGACAGGCAACTCTCAGGATGTATTTGTTAGAGTTGGGTGGGATAGTGAGGATCAAGATTATCTTAAAAAATTCAGAATTATACTATTACAGAGGCATGGACTTTATACAGGTGGCATGACACAGTGGCCCTGATTTGGTTCTAAGAATAGGGCTAAATGTTCCATACAGTAGATCTGAGCTTGTGGAACCTGAATTATAAAGCAAGTAGCACTAGACCTTGATGTGAATCTGATGTTGCTGAGAATTGTTCCTCAATTTTACTTTTATTTGTTAATTCTTATTAAATAATATTTCCAGGGACTGTTGTTCCACAAAACAAATTTTAGGAACTGTCATTCTGAATGAACTATACATTTTCCATATAACCCATCATTTGTTTTCAGTTTTTCTTTCTGGGGACAAATGGGTCTTAACCTTTTTTCCTTATGATATAACCCAGGGTCTTAGAATGGAGCAAAGTTAAGTGACCTGAAAACATTATGGCAATAAGAAAGGTTCTTATGAAAAGAACATCAGTACTATTATATTTAAGTGATAATTCCATAAATAGTATTCTAGAGGACTAGTAAATATATGTTGTTTTTATAATAATCTTTTTTCCTTCTAAGATATAGAGTTGGATCTGGGGGAAATCTTAGTATCTCATTAATACTTATATGGTTACAGAAGTTAGTGGAAATAGATTTTGATTCATCTATTCAGTAGGGTAAAGTGATATTGGGTGACTTATCCAGCAACACCAGAAAAGTGGGATCTATTTTAGGATTCCTCTTTGAGGATAGCTGATACTCATTTGATTTATCAGATCACAGACATTCAACATTCCTTTTCTTTACTTATGAACTTGGTATCACCACCAGTGTGAAACATAGATTTCTATAGACTAGAAATACCCTTAAATATTGTGTGATTTCAAATTAGTAATTTGCAGTTCCCTTGCATTGGTGGTCTGTAAGAACCAGGTACCCGAGTGTTGTTCACATGTTTCTTTTCTCTTGGGTTCCTAGTGCAATTTTGTCTTTTGGAGCCAGTTTTTGTTATATTGGTACTTGTCTCTTTTACCCAGAAACAAAGATGGGAAGTCTGAGTTGGACTTTGATACAGATCAATATGATATCCTGGTGTCAGATTTTGATGCAGAAGAAAAAGAGATTAGTGGTTCTGAGCTGCCAGAAACAGAGTATTCTTTACGGGTGAGTAAGAGTGGTTTTCTTCAACATTAAGAGGTAAGATTTCCTATAATATGAAAATATTATAGAATAAGACCAAAGTTTACTTATGTAAAGATGACAACCTTTTAGCTCTGTACTAGGATTCTTTTCACCATGTCTGCTAAAACAATTTAGCTAAAATAGCAGCATTTTAATGTTGTGGTTGATGTGCTACAAGGTATAGAAAGTAAGGTAGATATTTGCCTAAAATAGACTCAGTTGGCTAAAAGTGGTTAATGGGTATTTCAGTAGAATTGTCAATATTGCATATAAACTTTCCCTTTACTGTTCCATAGGCATATTGTAGTATTCTATATATGAAGCCACGGATGAAAATTTTTCTGCGTCAAAAGAAGGTGACCACCCAGATGATTGCCAAAAGTCTGGCCAATGTAGGATATGATATATATAAACCTACCTTTACAGTATCCTTTCAGCTACATGTAGTTAACCTCTGCATTTTGGGATTAAGTTTTCTAGGTTGGCACAGAAAAACAAAAACTTGTCTTTCCCAGATCAAAATTGTGTCATACACACAAATCCTATTACACTATACTCTAAGGAAGTATTTCTTATATGTCAGACTATATATACACCAATTTTATCAGAACTCATAGGGAAACTCTTAAATAAGAATCTTGAGATTTTAGATTCTGGTTCAGTAGATTCTGAAATCTTTTTTTAATAAGAAATACTTGTCTATTTTAGGATACTTAGCTTTTAACAGAGGAGCAGTTACTCATTTTCACTTCTATACTCCTTTGGAATAGATTTTAGAGAAAAATGTTAAAATAAACTATGGAAATGAGGTCAATCTTCATTGACGGCTTTTTTAGCAAAAAAGGGAAGTCTTTGAAAGGCTAAGAACTCATAAACAGGAAGAATTGATCTTTTAATCTATTTTCTAGTAACCATGCGTAACTCTTGATCCATATTTGCTTTATCAAAGATATACGCTTTCTCTTTCTTCACCTAATCAAAAATTAGAAATTGTTTTTCCTTTTTATAAAAGTCCATGTAGTTTTTAATTCATAAGCACATTGATTTTATCCTTTTGGGGAACACATACCTTCTCCACTAGGAAACTTTTTTTAAAGCCCTAAAGAAACTGAACAAAGCCGGAACTCTGAGCATATTAGTTATAATAGCACCTTATATGAGCTAGGATCTTAGTGCTATAGGTTCAACAGAGCTGATATAAAGAAGTGCTTTCCCAATTACTATATTTGAATATACCACATTTCTGTCTGTAGGTTCTTTTTTTAAATATTTTTTTAGTTGTAATTGGACACAGTGCCTTTATTTTATTTATTGTTATGTGGTGCTGAGGATCAAACCCAGCACCTCGCACGTGCTAGGCAAGTGTTCTACCACTGAGCCACAGCCCCAGCCACAACCCCAGCCCCTCTAGGTTTTTTTTTTTTTTCCCATGGGTTTCTATAATCAGGCCAACTTCTATGCATGCATTTTATATGTACCCAAATTCTTCTCACCCTCCCTTCCCATTAAACCAGTTACCTTCTTATATTAGAATTTGGGTTAAATGGATTCACTAAAGGCATCAGTAAAATGATACTGCTAATAGAATTTCCCCAAGGTTACTAAGGAACAAGATCATTAATGCTGGCTTATTTGGTTTCCTCCTCAGTTTTCAAAGGCCTCTTTTCTTTTTTCTTTCTTGGCATACTAATTTGGGGAGCGTTCTACCCCATTGTAACCCCATTTCATAATTTAGAATTTTAAAAATATACAACAGAGAAAGGGGATCAAGAGGGAGGGAGAGCATAGGGAAATACTGGGGAGCAAAATTTACCAAATTGTGCTATGCCCATGTACCAATATACTGTACAATGAATCCCACTTACATATATAATTATAATGCACTAATTAAAATAATAATAAAAGGTCAATAGAGTAGAGCAAGCAGATGAGGAGAAGGGAGGAAAAGAGGGAAAGGGAAGGTACTGAGGAATAAGATTGATCAAAGTATGTTATGTGCATGTACAAATATGGCATAATGAATCCCATTATTATGGGTCTTTATTTAATTTATTTATTTATATGTGGTGCTGAGGATTGAACCCAGTGCCTCACACATGCTAAGCAAGCACTCTACCACTGAGCTACAACTCCAGCCCCTAGTGAGCCTGTATTATGTATAATCATAATACACCAATAAAAATTTTAAGTGTACAGAGAAAGAAAATATTTGGTAATCTTTAAAATGTTAGTTTTATAATATGGGAGTTTTGGTTTGTTTGGGGGAGTTTTATCTTGTTTCATTTTTGCATTGTAATAAGGCCTTACTTGAGGTTCCATTTGAGCTCAGAAAATTGTGTTCTGAGTTAAATATTACTGTTAAATACCCACTTGTGTTTTTATCATACCTGACAGAGACATTTTTAAATGGTTTTTATGCATGTAGTTTGTCATTTAGAGGGGGCAAAAGAGATCATTTTAAAAAATAAATTTTCATTCAATCCATTTGAATATTAAGAATTCTCACTATTTGTTTTAATGAAAATATCAGTTTCTCTATCTCCTCTTTATCATTGTCATTCTCTTACATTGGACTGCTTTTTGTTTTATTTATTTTATTTTATATATATATGTATGTTATTTATTTTTTGGTCCTGGGGATTGAACTCAGAAGTACTTTACTACTGAGTTACATAAGCCCTTTTTAGTTTTTATTTTGAGACAAGGTCTTGCTAAGTTACTGAGGTTAGCCTCAGTCTTCCCACCTCAGTATCCAGAGGAGCTGTGATTACAGGCATGCACAACTGTAACTAGCTTAACTTGGTTTTTAAATCAAGTAGAATTTTTTAAAAATTTACTTCCCAGTGCCTTTGGAGGCTGAGATAGGAGAATCATGAGTGCAAAGCCAGCCTCAGCAATAGGGAGGCGCTAAGCAACTAGTGAGACCCTGTCTCTAAATAAAATACCAAATAGGGCTGAGGATGTGGCTCAGTGGTTGAGTGCCCCTGAGTTCAATCCCTGATATAAAAAAAATTCATCATTACCTATGTTTTACATATAACAGTTCTCATAATTTGATCTACCCAAATTTGCTAACCTCTTCCTATGAAATATTACTATAAGACTATTCATTGTCTTTTACCTTTCAAAGTTGTTTTGTTCTTATTGTTTTTGTTTCCATTGTATTTTATATGGTTAACTGGACTTACAAATATTGTCTGTAATTGAATGTATTTGTATTGTAGCATTTATAACTCTTATCAGAACCTGTGAACCTTAGCAGCAAAATGAACAACTAGGAAGGGTTAAGAATTCTTTTTTTATTATTCATGAATTATTTAATCACTGGTGGAATTTTGGTATTTTTCTTAGTCTTTTCTATGCATGTATATAATATTTTGTTATATGTGATGTATTATTACATTACATATTACTATTATACATATATGTGTTATATAACAATGCTTGTTATTATTCTGAATATTTCCTAATATTCCAAAATATTATTCAGGGACACAATTTTAAGAGCTGTATAATAGACCATATTTATCCAATATTACTTTATTGTTGGATATTTAAATTATCTGTTTTTCTGCTGTTGTGATTAATTGAAAAAAAAAAATCTCTTAACTCATCAACTTTTGTGGGCTTCCTCAACTAATTCTTTTGGATAAACTTCTAAGAAGACAATTCCTTGGTCATAGCTTAAAAATATAGTTAAATTATTGCTATAGATTTTTAAATGCCCTCTAAAAAGGTATCAATCTACATCCAATGGTTTAATCTATAATATGGTACAAAATTTTGTTTGCCGAATCCCCTGGTGTTTGTCTCCTTAATAATTTTATTCTCAGAATAAGCAGGTGAGAATCACTTTTGGATTCTCCTGCAAGAAAACTAACCAGTTTGGAGTAATGATGTATCATAACAACCGGCTCATAAAGTTCTTTGAGAAGGTGGGATGCCAGGTAAAGTTGAGTGGTTAATGTTTCTTTGGCATAGAAGACTGAAAAGAGTAGGGAGAGAATTTAAAATTTGCAAAGGGCATAGATTGATTAATGGTTCTATTCCCATACTGGAATTCTGTGTTATCAGTGAGCATTCTTATGTTGGTTTGCCATAATGTTTTTAGGATAATTTAAAGTAGTAATCCCCATGAGTATCCTCTTAATTTCTTAATTTATAAATTAGATGGTTAAAGCACAGTGAATTATAGACTGCTTTATATTATGCAGTACACAATTACATAGGGCCCAGGATAGCTATTTTCAGCCAATCATATTTGTTCTTGTTATGTCATTTTTAGACAACTTATGTTTATTTGCTGGTATAATTACACTTTGACTTAGTTTCTTCCACTAAAAATAACAAAGAACTATTTTAATTCACAAAACATTTTACATCAACTTATAATTAATAAACACAGCCAGTCTGACTTTCTTTGGTAGTTATTTGGTAGTCTATATATGTGGGGAAAATACTTACTTGAATAGATAAGGTGTAACCATCACATAACATCCCTAAAATTTGGGGGTAGTGATGAAGTTTCCTTTCAGTTCCCTCAAATAGTAGTATATAATCTTGTTTTTTTAGCAGTGTACTTTATAAAAAATATTTTTTAGATGTTGATGAGCCTTTATTTTATAATTTATTTATATGCAGTGCTGAGAATCAAACTCAGTGCCTCACACATGCTAGGCAGGTGCTCCACCACTGAGCCACAACCCCAGCCCCAGCAGTGTACTTTTTTATTCAAATGAACTATTATGGCAATGCTGGAATGTGAAACTGATAAAATTGTAGGTTTGTAAGTAAAGAAGAGTTATTATTCCTTGAAAAATCCTATGGATCTATGAATCATTGAAAATCTCTGTTCTAAAATTTTTCAATTTACAGTTCCCTATATATTGGAAGTTTCAATATACTTGCAGTATATTGAAGTACATTCTAAGTGTTTCTCTATATGTTAATGGTCTTTCCTTGCCCATGAACATTATATAATCTTTCTAGAATCAAAAAGAAATGCTTTTAGGAAGTCAACAGTAATGTAAGTATTGAAATTAATATTTTTCTTTTAAGCCAACTCATGGAGAAGGTGTGGGAGTAATTGGAGTCATTGAGTGCAATTTCCTAAAACCTGCCTATAACAAACAAGACTTTGAGTACACTAAGGAATACCGGTGAGTCGTCCCCAACCTGAGGTGCTTCTCATAATTTGTTCAGATACAATTGCATTCTCTGCAGTCTGTAAAAACCAGCCAGATAAGTTAACTTAGAATTACTTCAAATCTGTTTTCTGTGATTAAAGATAAAATGATTTTATTTTAAAACAAAGCTTACTGGTATACTTAATATATGGAGTTCAGAGATATTCTTACCTTTAAAAAACTATGAAAAAAACATAGGAGTTATTTAGTAAAATATTTATATGAAATGAAAAGCCTTGTTATTGATCTTTGAAAATATGAGTCCATATAAAGTTGTTGAATACTTTGGAAGGGGTGGAATTTGAAATTTGTTCCAAAATATTTTCTTGAAGCCAGTAAATAGTCTTAGAAGAAAATGTTAAATGACAAGAAAGATGTGTGCTTTCATAGAAGCACCTAGACTTGCTAGTAAAGACAAACACATAAGAAACAGAAAGGAACTTGACACTTGAGTCTGAAGCAGTAGGTACATTTTTAGGAGATGAAGAAAGAAGTTGGTAAAGCCAGATGAGAAGTTTTTTTTTTTTTTTTTTTTAACTTTTGGGAAAAGAGAAGTCTTCTATTCCTTCTTTCAAATGCCTTCTATGTGTCATGTACAAAGAGAATAAGAATGAAAAATTAGAGTCCTCGATGCCTATGAACAATTGTGATAAGACATATGCAAATAAGAAACTTAAATACACATAAAATAATTGTTTTAATGGGGGTACATATAAAAATGAGAAGAACCTTTAAATATGCCTAAAGGAATCAAGGATAGCTTTGTAAAGCAGATTATATTTTAGATTAAACTTGAAGGAAAACTTGAAGTTTTCTAGATAGACATAGGTAGACATTCTAAGCAGAGGGAAGTATATGTAAGGGCACAGAAAGGAAATGAGTGTTCTGCAAGTATGAAGAAAGACAAAGCAAGAGGACATTTGGTATCATTTCTCCTGAAGTTCTTATAGCAATTTTTCTTAGAGTGAAAGAAATATAATTCCCCATATCTCTTATTGTGTTCAAAACATTATAGTTAATTAAAAATTTACCTGGAACCATAAAAACTTCAGGTTTAGTGTTTCACAAAGAGACAGCTTTTTGAATGGCAGTCCCAAGTTAATTTCAGCATAGTTGGATTTGGGTCACTCAGGCTACTCAGTGGTTATGGTAACTATGTTCCCTCAATCAAAATAAATTGATAATTTAAATATAAGTCTGACCCATAATGGAGATCTTTGACCAGCACTTGACTCTTAAGAGTGAAAGTCTTAAATGACATTGGTTTAACAAAAGTCTCAGAGCTAAGTCATTTGGGTTGTCTTGAGCCAAAGGAATAAATGACTTCCAATGATTATCTAAATAATTAAAATATGTGGAATACAAATATTAGATATTAAAAATTACTTAATACCTTTCTATGTCACCTTTGCCATCTTCCCACCAAAATCTATGTTTTGGATTTTGGACACATTAGACTTTTCATTTTTGATGTCTAATTTTGGTAGGATGAGTTTGAGATGATTACAGAAGATCTAAATAGAGATATTCTGTAAATAGCAGATTAATTCAGTTAAACATATAGGATTTCTGGCTTAAGTAGCTTAATATGTACTCTATATTTTATTAAAAGCAGAAAACTAGTACACTATCCTGCATACAGGCTTCTGATGATAGTAAATTTGCATAATTTTATCCAATTCTGGCATTATTGCCCCATCCTTTTTGAGCCTGAGAGTTGAATCCATGGTGTTGCACATGGCTGAGCATGCACTGTAGAATAGCATTTAGGTAAAAATTCAGGAATTTGAGAAAGGGATTAAAGAAGGTTATATGCTAGGATAAACTTGTCCTATGTGTATTAGAGATATCAAAACTGTAAATGATAAAAGAGATACTGGCAATCATACTGCTGGAATGTCTACAAATAAATCACCTGTAATATCACTTAACAGTTGTGGATATCAGATTTCATCTGCAACTATCAGGGATCAAACCTAAAACATTTTTAGAGTGAACTTCACTTTAAAAGATGCAATCAATGCACTGAGCACTCCACTGGTACATAAACATAGTGGGTAGGTTTTGTGGAATTTTCCAGAGAAATTCAAGACATAGTTGCTTTCTTTAAGAACCTTACAGTCTATTTGTAATAATAGATTGTCACATGTATGAAATAAATTGGACAGCAGTAACATGGCTAATTGATTAATCAAAATCTAATTAGTACGGTATAGGAAAAATGCCTGATAAAGTAAATAGGGAAAGTTCTAGGTAGAGAATATGACTTGAGGTGTGCCTTAAAGGATACAAGATTTAGGGGGAAAAAGGATAGAATTCCAAGAGGAAGTTGTATTATGAACTAATGTAGTGACAGGAATTCAGAATGGTAAGTGTAGAGAGTGGGGATATAAGATTGTAAGTGGTGTGAAGGGAAATCAAGTTAGATGGATAGAGTAGGGTCAGGTCCTAGGCAGGGATTGGCAAACATATTCTGAGAAGGTCCAGAAAGTAATTATTTGGGGCTTTGATGGCCATATTGTCTTCTTTTACAACTACTTAATTCTACCATAGTATAAAAGCATATATAGACATTAAGCAAAGAAACAAGCATGTCTGTGTTCAGTACAAGTTTGTTCACAAAAATAGGCAGTGGGTGGGGTTTGCCTTCTGGGCTACAGTTTGCTGACCCCTGTACTAGAACCACCATTCCTGAACTATGTGTACCAAATTATACATAATGAACTCATAGGAGAGCCATGAAATATTTTAAATTTTAAGGGAAATAGCAGTACTTGATGTCTGTCTATAAACAATAGAAAGTGTCTTTAATTGTTGTAAGAAGCTACCAGAAACTTGGTGGCTTAAAACAATACTAATTTAACTATCTTAGAATTCTATAAGTTGAAAATCTGACCAAGATCTTGTTAGATTAAAATCAAGGATTTAAAATCAGGCTGCATTCTTTTCTTGAGGCTCTAGGGGAAAATCCATTTCCTTGCCTTTTCCAACTTCTAGAGGCTGCCAGCATTCCTTGGCCCAAGGCCGTCTTCCTCCAACTTCAGAGTCAGTAATGATGGGTTGAGTCCTCCTCACGTTGCATCATTCCAGTGGCCTTGTTTCTGTCATCACATCTACTTCTCTGATTCTGACTCATCTCCCTCATTCTTCTGTTTTTAAAGACTAATAATCCTGTCTTGAGGTCAGTTGATGAATGACCTTAATTTCATCTGCAATTTTAATTCCCTCTTGCTATGTAATCTAGTGTGTTCATAGGTTGTGGGAATTAGGACATAGGCATCTTTGGAGAACCATTATTTCATTTACAGGAGTCTGTCCCTTGATCTTCTGAAATTCACTTATTTCTCACATGCAAAACAATGAGTTCATCCCAACACATTTCACTCATGCTACAACTGCATCCTGGAATTCCCAAAAGAAGAATCTCAGTTAAATATCATCAGTTCAGCCAGGCACATGGTACATGTCTGTTATCCCAGAGGCTTGGAAGGATGAGGCAGGAAGAACACATGTTCAAAGCCAGCCTCAGCAACTTGGCAAGGCCCAAGCAACTTAGTGAGACCCTGTCCCAAAATAAAAAATAGAAAGGGCTGGGATATGGATCAGTGGTTAAGCACCCCTGGGTTCAAGTCCTAGTACCCCCCACAAAAAAATCAGCTCAAGAGGCTCAAATCTCATGGTTTAAATCACATATGGATGATAACTCTGAGTATGATGTGTCTTGGGACAAAATTCCTCTCCATCATTGCATGTCTTTGTCTCTTCCTCTCTTCTTCCCTTCTTCCTTTCTCCTCTCCCTCTCCTTTTTCCTCTCCCTCTCCCTCTCCTCACCTTGCATTTTACACCTAAAATACCATAGTAGGGCAGTCACAGGACACTAGTTTTAAATAATCTGGGCCATGTGGGAGAGAAAATGGAAGGAAAAAAAAAAGGAGTCACAAATACCAGGTAATATCTGAAATTCAGCTAAACAAATTTTATTAAATTTAAAAGACTGGGAATAGTTTTCAAGGGCTTGCATCTCTACCTTCTAGTCTTTGAGTTTGGGGCCTCTGGTTTTATGGTTCCACCCTTGAAATCATCTTTCCTTGTTGATGAAGGGTAGCATGTGTTTGCAGCTGAAGTAGTTTCATCAGCTAGTTTCCTGGTGGTAGAAATTTGAAGTTTTAAGGTACAACAGACTACATTCATTTTACACTCTCTCTATCCCTTTCAGTCCAAGCTAAAAATTTTTGTGCTTGTGGCATTCTCAAGAAACTTGTGGAAAAAAAAAAAAAAACCTTGTGAATCTCCCATGAATATCATGGATATTCACTCTATTCAACAAGAGACCCTTGACAGGTCTTTCCTAGATAATCCTATTTCTTTTATGTCTTCAGCTGAGATTGCTGGAGAGAACTGAGTCATGTGCCCAATCATTTTAAAGAGCCTTTTGTGTGAGTGACTGAAGACTGTGACTTTTTGATCTTATTGCAATATTACCAAAAAGTTATCCAGCCCTACCTTTAGTTTTTTTTTTCTTTCTTTTTTCTCTAAAGAACACTTTCCTGATGGGGAATCTCTAAATTTCAATGTCTTCTGCAATTTGGATAGACTGAGAGTTTTCCAAATCATCAAATTATGGCTCCTTTTAACTTAACAGTTCTTCCCTCAGTTTTTCTCTTTGCCTTGCATTTTATATGAGCAACCAAAGGCCACAAGCTATACTTTCAGAACTTTTCATGGAGATCTCCTCAACTAAATGTCCAGCTCCATCATTTACAAGTTGTGCTTTCCACATAACTGGGGACACTGTTCTGCTAAGTTTTCTACCACTATTTAACAAGCACCACCCTCAAGTTTTCCAGTAAGGTGCTCCTCATTTCCTTCTGAGTGTTCTTTAGTAATGCCTTTAACATCCACATGTCTTTTAACAGTCTGTTTAAAATGATTTAAAGTATTCTCTAAGGCACTTTATATTTTCTCTACCATGT